CACCTAAAGTCGGTACCTGACCAGCCGGGCTGTGGCTCATACGTTGGTTTGCGTGCAGCCAGCAGTAACAGCCTGGTTGATCAGGCTCTGATCCACCAGGCTGCCTGGTCACAGACCAGGCCGCGGGGGCGTTGACCCCCGGAACTCTCTCCAGGTAAACTCCAGGTAATTTATGAAAATCTGTCCAATAAGCCACTTGTGAGGCTGAGGTACCGACATCAGAGCTCGGTGTCAACAAGCTTGCCGGGGGTAACGATCACTTGGAGGCTCCAAAAAAAATTTTCACATTACTGACACTCAGTGTGGGACGAGAGCGTTGCCTCTAGCCGGGACCAGCATGTCCGGGAGGGGAGGGGGACCGTGTGGCGTAGTCACTAAGTCCAGCACCCCAACGCAGTGTAAGTTTTTTAGGTATACCAAATGTTCCAAGATTTCATACATGAGATATGGGATTAGTTTTTTCCCACCGAAGGGGTAGTTTATTGTGCCCCCCAATCCATCCTGTGGAGGTAGCGCGAGAATTGGTTACAAAAAAGGCCTGGAACTGGCCCCCAAAAAGGGTTAACGGGAAATATATGGTTTATTTTACAATTATGTTATTATCTGTTACAGAAAATTTGGAAATTTGTTAGTTTATCGGGTTCTTATTTTTTTAAAAGATATTTGACTGTAATGGTTTTTTTAAACTGTCTGTTCTGTTTCCTCAAAAAGTGGCAATTAGCACAAGTGTTAAAGAAAATGCCATATGCTGATCACATAAATTTTAAATTTGTTTTTCATCATTGTGTGTTCCCAAACTGCCAGAAAAATACTTGAACCAAGCTAAGCCCGGCCCTACAAAAATCGTCAGTTGTTCCCTTGCAAATTGTCCATAAACATACTTATCTCGTTCATGTTTCAAGTGGGTATAGATTATCAGGCTTTTAACTGCTTTTATAACAAACATTTTTTATTTTTTCTCTCTAATATTTTTCCCAAGTAGACACAGTTTTACAAAGTTATATTCTACTTCTCCTTCTGGTACTTTCTTGGTAACTACAACTTTATCATGAAGGAGTAATCCAAGTGTGAGGGATCCCTAGCAATTGTACATTATTCTTGCCTAATTTTTTGGGATTATACCCGGCTTCCCCAATGGGTGTTGTTGGGGTCATTATATGAGCCAAGAGCCCTTTAATGATGACTAGAATCAGTAATGATGATGAGTCAAGTCAGTGTCAAGGTTAGCTTTGCCCATTAAGATTGCAAAAAAATTAGTTTGCAGTGTAGACGCCCAGTTGTTAATTCTTATGCCCAACTCAACAAAATTTATTACGTTCTTAAATAGGGGGTGGCAAAAAAAGAGCGATGCAGCCCTGCCGAAGGCTCTGTTTGATCCCTCAGTGTATAAAACTTGTGTAAATTGTTACTACCCGCTGGTGAGAAATTTTTTCTTGGGGCAAATTTCTAACAAGAGATTTAAAGGGGGGGGGGGGGGGGGGGGGGGGGGGTGCTTTTTGGGGGGGGGGGCCCCCCCGGGGGGGAAGGGATTACTAGCAATGAGCTTTTTGGGGAGGAACTTGTAGGTATGTGATTTTAAAAATGAACACATCTTCCATGGAGGGGTAAAATGCTCTTGTTGCCTACAGTGATACAGTTCTGCAGGTTATAAAACTTAATGAAATTGCCTTTTTCAAAAATCCATTTGATTGTGTGATTTCCCTCTAGACATTTGGAAAGTTCACTGTGACAGTGTCTGGTTCGTTTCTAACATTCAAAAACGAGTCAGGTTAATTTCACAATCTTCACTGAACTAGAAATACCAAGCTCCTTCCTATGTTAAGAACTTTTTTTGATCTGGGACACCCAAAGATAATCTGAGAGCTTTTTTTGCATTAACCCCAAGGGTCGGAGAGAACTTTCTTAGTTATCAACATGGGAGCAGCAAAATAAATTTAAAGGGACCAAACAAGGTATGTACACATTCTCACGATTTCACTTTGCACCATAGTTGGGATTGTACCCAGAAAAGCTTTGAGAGCTTTAGCCTAGTTTACATTTTTTTTTTAGTTGTGGTTTATAGGCCTTAGACAAGGATGTGTGATGTCCCGTGGTTTTTTAAATATATTTTAGATGGGGTTGAAGAGAAGTAAATGGGGGGGTCTTGGCAAGAGGCGTGGGAGTTAAAAGATAAAGAATCACACCCCAAAGTGGGAGTTGCACAGGCTTTTGCTATGACACTGTGCTCTGGGAGATTCTGGAGAAGTTGCGAGATTGGTGGGTGAAATTTTGGTAGGGTGTGAAAAGAAGAAAAAAATTAAAAGGGAAAAAGGAAGAGTAAGGTTATGAGGATAAAAAAAGATTGGTGATGAAAGTTGAATATCAGATTGGAGGGAGAGAGTAGGGAGGGGTGAAGTATTCGTATTTGGGAGTGGACGTGTCGCGGAGGGTTATGAAAAATGGGTGGGAAACAAAAAATTTATGAGGGAAAAAAGTAGTGGTGCACTTTGGGTCTGTGGAACAAAGGGAACTTTGTCCTTGGGGGAAAGAGGGGAAAATATGAGGTATGTTTTACCAAAGTCTTATAGGGTGTGAAGCGTGGGTGTGAAAATTGCAGGAGGGAAGGCTGGAGGCATGGAGATGTCATGTCTGAGGGAAAGTGTGGTGTGAAAAAAAATGCAGAGAATTCGTAGTTTGGAAGTTAGGAGGGGTGTGGGGTTCCAAAATGTTGTCCGGGGGTGAGGAAAGGGGGTTTATGGTTCGGCATGTAAGAGAATGGGGCGAAACGAATGACTTCAAGAGTTAATCTGTAGTGGAAGGAAGGGGGGTAGGGGTCGGCCAAGGAAGGGTTTGGGGGGAGGGGGGGAAAGGAGGTTTTTTGTGGAGGGGCTTGGACTTCCGCAGGCATTTCTGGGTGTTTGATAGGGGATGGAGAAAAGGTTTTTAATACTTGACGTGCTTTGGAGTGGGAAAATAACATTTTGAAGGGATTCAGGGAAACCGGGGGCCGGACTTGAGTCCCGGAGTGGGAAGTCAGTGCCTGCACTCTGAAGGAGGGGGTTAATGTTGCAGTTTAAAAAACTGTAGTGTAAAGCACCTTCTGGAAGGGCAGTGATGGGGTGAATGGGAAAGTTTTTCTTTTTTGGGCCACCCCCCGCCTTGGGGGGAATCGGCCGGTGTGATAAAAAAAAAAAAATTTTTGGTTAGTGGATTTGTTAAAAGGGGACATTACCCAAGATATCTGTAAGTTTTAACGTAGCTAAAGATTTACCCTGCAATAGATGGGTGGGGGGATTCGTTTGCTTGTTAATATCTTGTTTTAGAGGAAGTATTATGAGGCTAGTGATTACAAATTGTTTAACTTCATTAAGAATGGTATTATCTTTTATGCCCCGTTGTATGGTTTATGATATCATCAGCATACTTATAGTATATGTTTAGGTGAGGCAGGTAGACATTTTGGAGGCTTAATCGAATATTAAATAGCATGGGATAAGAATCCTCCCCGCGGGGTACCTAAAGACATTTCTTTAGAATCATTTGAAGCCTTGGTAAAGGACGAGGAACTCTATTGACAGGTTCCTATTATCCAGCAGAGTAAGTCCCCCAATATTTATTTTGGGTAGTTTATGTAGTATAAAGGTTCTGTTCGCAATATCAAATGCAGATTTTAGATCAAGAAAAGTGGTAAAACTAGTAGAGGTGTGTGCAGTGAGAAAGGTGGAAATACAGTTCTGCACACTTTTACCTTTCATGAATCCATAGAGGTAGGGGGAAAGTTAATGTCTGATTCTGTAGTACAGTCTGTTAAGCATCATTCTTTCAAAAGTTTTACAAAGACAAAATAGTTAAGGAGATCGGCCTAAATGTATCAGGCTGTTGGGGCTTGGGATAGGCACAATGAGACTATTGGTCCAGGAAGTAGGAAGAACGCCCCCATATGTAACTGAGATTATACAGTGCCAACAAAGGGTTATCAGGCACGTGCCTTAGAGTTCTGAGAATATCATAGGTTATACCATCCTCTCCAGGAGCAGTTGATCGACCTTTGGTTAATGCATTATCTAATTCATATTCGGTAAAGAGGCAATCACTCTCATCAATATTTTGGCTCATAAAATTAATCAGTTTCAACATTTCTTCAGAAGTACTCTCTAAATTTTTTCTAATATGAGATGGAAGGCTTTCATGCCTGGATGTTTTGGACCAGTCATTTATGAGGTCATTTGCTTTTTCAAGAGGAAAGGGATGAGCAACATTGCCAGTCTTTTTCCTGGTTATTTTATTTATACCTTTCCAAGCCAAACTCAAAGGGGTGGACCTATTTAATCCACTAACAAACTGTTCCCATTCCTGTTGCCTAAGTTCTTCCTTTCTATTCCTTGCATTTGTTAGTGCAGCTTGGAACGTTCTGAGCAGGTCTGGGGTTCTACATTCAGGGTATGCTTTACCAATCCTCCTAGCTGCATGTGTTAGATTGCGCAGCTGTGGATCATTATAGTATTTACATTGGTTTTTATTGTTATTTATAGTGGAGGGTTTTTGTTTCCTATTCCTGCCCACTTGATCTGTGAGAACACTCTCAATAGTGGTAATTAAATCATCATTAAATTTTTGTGTGCCAATGGGCTCGTAATTCTTATACCATTGATCCAAGTGGTTAATAAAGTTGTCTCTGTGTTCTGGTTTGAGAATAAGTTTCCTCCTTCTGTATTTAGCTCCTTGATTGCTGGAGATGTGATCAAGATTGACAGTTGTTAGTCTTGGGAAGTGATCAGATAGAAGATCATCAACTATGACATATGTGTAGAGAACCTAGGATAACCCAAAAAGTCAAACAAGTGACTGGTGGTAGTTTGCGGATTTTTTTTTCTGTCTAGGGTTTGGATTGTGAGAAACATCTTTCTATTAGTTAATACTTATTTTTTCGCTCACTACGAGTTGGTTTTGAGTGTATTATAACCTCTGAGAGTAGTTATGAGGTGTTGGGCCGACACTACTCACGGTGCAGTGAACCTTATATACCAACAACAACAACAATGATGGCGTCGCTGGTGGTACCACGGAGGTGGTACAGGTACCTGGACACTCTAAATGCCAGGTACCTGGGCTCTCTTCGTGCCAAGTACCTGAATTCAGTCAGTATCAGGTACCTGGACACACTCAGCAGTAGGTACACTGCATCACCCGGTAAATATAAGCTGTTCTATCCTGTTTAGTTTCACTGAAATGCTACGCCAGGTTTCAGGTTATTAAGTAAGTTTATTTAGGCACAGGTACACATTAATATAGTTTCACAAATTATCATACATAGTAAAATATTTGTAAATTACTTATGATAACCCAGAAAAAAATCAGTGACTTGTTTCCCCAATGAAAATAAGTCACATCGTCTGCCTGTTTTTGGTTGTTAATTTACATATGTTACTATGTATGATAATTATAATCATCTAAATTTGTGTCAGTGTACTTATGAGTACCTGTACCTAAATTTACACCCTTCTAGCAGGTGCCTTGGTGTTGGTGAAGGTGACTGAAGAGAGTGCACCTATCCTCTTCTTTGGATCGAACCTCATTGTATAACCCATACAGGTGTAGGGCTTCACTGTAAAATGATAACTATATGAAGGTCACAGTCCTCATAGTCACTGTATTACACTAACATATACAAATAATTTATAAAATATCTAGTATTATGTCACTAATACACCGTGGGAACTGCTGATAACATGTGGTGTTTCTGTGGCAGTATTGTGGGCCCCATGGGAGTAACTGTGGCCCCATGGGAGTGTCTTTCTTTGTCTCTGGCCCCATGAGAGTGTCTCTGGCCCCATGAGAGTGTCTTTGGCCCCAGGGCAGTGTATTGGACCCCATGTGATTAACTTCGTTAATGACTGCATACCAGTCAATACATGCAGTGTTTATATATGCTGCTATGTATAGCAATGACTCTCTTGGGTTATCCTAGGTAATATACACTATGTAAGATAACTGTGTACCTGTGCCTAAATAAATAAACTTAGTCCTCGATTCTATTCAAGGGACACCTGTCTTTCAAGAAATATATACCAGGCAAACATAATTGCTTGAATTACAGAACATAATCAAGGACTAAGTTTATTTAGGCACAGGTACACATAAGTACAGCTATACATAGAGAAAATTACCTGGGATAACCCAAAAAAAATCCAGGAAAAGTAGTATATTGTGCTTGTAGATATAAGGTATAAGCATTACTGTGGCAAATAATACACACTTCGGCCACAGTTTTATCTTTCCACTTGTTCCAAAGTGGCGATTCTGCAACACATGTAATACGATCATTAGTTCGTACATACGTGTTCCATACGATTCTCAGATGTGTTTGTGATTAACTTAGTTGATTCCTGCACACCAATCAGTACATGCAATGTTTTCATATGATAATTTATTTAACTGTATTTATGTGTATATGCTTGGCTGAATAAACTGACTGACTTGACTTACTGACTGAACTGACTGATTTGGTTGACTGTACTAACTTACCTACTTGACTGGACTAACCTAGTGACTTGACTTTCTGACTGACTGACTCATTTGTCTTACTGTCTTGACTGTACTGACTTGATTGACTCACTGACTTGACTGATCTACTGACTTGACTGACTTAATATACTGACTTGACTTACTGATTGGACTAAGTGAATTGACTGACTCATATTTGACTTACTGTCTTTACTGTACTGACTAACTGAATTGATTTATTGACCTGACTTACTGACTGTACTGGCTTGACTGACTGGACTACCATCCACCTCAGCCAAGTAGGGCCACAGCATGCCTCTCCACTCCCTTCATAATCATCGAAAAACACCAGCACCCACAATTTAAGGTAAGAAATATTCCTCTTGCATTTGTAGCCTTAAGCAATAAAAGAAACTTAATATATAACGACAATGAATGACAATTACATTATCATTTTTATTTTTGTAAGATTTGGAGACCTAAAAAAAAAAAAAAAAAAGTGACTTTTTTGGGGGTTTTTAGTAACATAACCCTATTTTTCCCATTAGTTCTTCAGTTCCTTTAACACGGATTCATCTTGCACTGCATTTTCAGGAACGTACTACCGTGGTAATCAACGGTCTATGTACAAAAGTTGTGGCTACTTGTAGTCCTCCTAAGCACTCTGTGGTAAAGTCAGTACAATCACAAAGTTGCCATATAAAGGGATTTTAATTCACTTCTCAATACTCCTTACACAGTTTTTCTTTAAACTACAGTGGTACCTTGAGTACGAACTTAATTCATTCCAGAAGGCTATTTGAGTGCCGTTACCGAACGAATTTGTTCCCATAAGGAATAATGTAAATTAGATTAGTCCATTTCACACCCCCAAAAATACACTTACAAAAGCACTTACAAAAATACACTTACATAATTGTTCGAGCTGTTTGAAACTCAAGGCACCACTGTATTTGATGAAATTTTAATTTCATGTATTGGGTTTCTGTGGAACAAAAGGATTCACTGAGCATAATTCACATAACAGACTTGTTCTTTGGTCCCTAACCTGGTAACCTATCATTGTTAATGTTTCTTTCTTCACATAGCTATGTATACATGTACATCATAAACATGCTCATCAGCTTCTTGTTTTCAGGAACACTACAGCGGCATTTTGTCACTTTAGTACCAAGTACGTCTCATATGGTTGCTGATGCTCACATTAAACTTAGGCAACAGCAGGAGGCAGTAAACCAAGTTATGTGCTGCACACCCTCAGGACCACTTATATACTCACGCAGAACTACAAGCTTTTTTAATAAATGTAAGTTTTATAACTATTGTACTGCATCTGTCACCTGTCAGAATGCAGTAAAACATATATTGGGACTCAGAATCAGAGGGCTATTGATATTAAGGATACTTTACCATCATACACTTAAAAAAATTATGTTATTATTATTATTAACACATCAACTCTCTCCCACTGAGGAATGGTGACCCACAAAATAGAAACATGTTCACCATTATTCATTCAGTATCTATCATGTCAAAAAGAGTGCAGACCTCACAGTTCAAAGAGCCTTCTGTACTGCAGTAACTGTTTCCCACCTCCAGGACTCATCCACTGAATTTAAATGACAGCTGTTAATTGCTCAATTTCTTAAATTGTCTAGACTTTTTGTTAGTCTCAGCAACTTGCTCTTTTGTATGTTTACTTTTAATTGATTCCTTTTACACACCCTCCAAAATTTACCCACCAACGTTTGCAACGTTTCTTCAGAATTTCAGTCAAGTAATGCTTCATCAGCAAAGATCATTGTTCTTTATCTTTTAATCTCACACCTCTCCTCTACCCCGTAGTGGAAATATAAACACATATGCAGTATAATGTGATCCTTTATTGACAACGTTTCGCCCCCACAGTAGGCTTTTTCAAGTCACAAACAGATCTACCTGGAGTGGAAGGTACGCGAGTATTTATAGTCAGGTTCAGAATGCTGAGGTCAGGTGGAGAATGCTGCATCTGATGATGTACCGAGTAGGGTTATAGAGTCTAAAATCTTGGGTAGCTTGGAAGGGAGATTGGATAAGTTTGTGAGTAGACCTTCTGCAGTGTTCTTCCATTCCTATGATCTTATGTGGGATATCGATGAAGAAGTTTCTTGGCAAGTGGGATACCAGGCTTGTGAGGTTTTGGCAGGCCGTACATTCTGGCAGGTCTGGGGTTGCTGGGTATGGTGTGCAGAAGTTTCTTCCCACTGAGGCCCATATCCTCGGGAATAGGCAGTGCTCCCCACCAACTCTCAGGAATTCTTGCAAAACACCTCTCTAAACTCTTGGGCACTATCAGTCCAGCACATCTCAAACACTCGGGTGATCTTCTCATTCGCAACATCAACATCAGGAACAAGAAACTTTCCAGCTTTCACGTACCTTCCCTATCCACCAAAGTACCTACTACACAAGCCATCGATCTCTCGTGCAGGAAAATTGACGATTCACTTGATCTTCCTATTCCAGCCAACGATTTCATCGACCTTGTTGAACTGTGTGTTGGCTTTACTTGTTTCTCTTTCGAAAATCACCTCTTTCAGCAGACTTTTGGACTACCCATGCATTCACCACTCAGTGCGGTCCTGGCAAACCTATACATGGAACATCTAGAAGCTGAGCGTTTCTCCACCATTATTCCTTCATCTGTCACCTGGCTCCGTTACGATGACGACATTCTCCTCATAACTCCTAGACGCTTAAACGTCCAAGCTCTCCAAGACAAGCTCAACCAGGTCGAACCTTCAATCCAATTCACACTTGAAGAAGAAGTCGACAACACTCTTCCTTTCCTTGAAGTTCTTCTCTGCAAAGCTGACCATGAACTTAGTTTTAAAGTCTATCGAAAACCCACCAACCAAAATGATCTTCTCCACTTCTACTCTCACCATGACACCAAAACTAAACGTGGTGTAATTATAGGCTTCTGCCCGCACTCAGAATCTGCAGCAATGAGTTTCTTGAGGAAGAATGCACTATAACTGAACAAGTATTTTCTAAACTCCACTATCCTCGTCACTTCATCAGAGACTGCAGACGACGGGCATTAAACATCTTCAACACACCCAGAGAAGACACTGCCGAGAAGAGATGCATAGTCCTCCCCACCAACTCCATTGCCAAACATGTTTCCAACATCTTTTTCCAATACCTCATTCCAAGTATCTACCTCCACAACCACGACCATCAAGGACATTACCAGTGATAGACAGGACAAGCTTCCATCCTCTGCAGGGGTATACATAATCCCTTGTAATGACTGCAGCGAATTATACGTGGGCAAAACATCAAGGGGCCTCCAAACACACATCTCAGAACACCAATACGCAAGCAGGTCTGACAATACAAGGAATGCCTGTGTACAACACTGTAATTCACACAACCATTTAATAAACTACAGAAACTCAAAACTTATTGCCACAGAAGACAACACTCAATACCGAAGAATCCTGGAATCATCGCTTATCTCTTTATCTGACAACTTCAACCAGAATAATGGCTTCTATAACATAGCTGAATCACTTGCCAAGAAACTTCTTCATCGCTATCCCACATAAGAGCATAGGAATGGAAGAACACTGCAGAAGGTCTACTCACAAACTTATCCAATCTCCCTTCCAAGCTACCCAAGATTTTAGACTCTATAACCCCACTCGGTATATCAGATGCAGCATTCTGAACCTGACTATAAATACTCGTGTACCTTCCACCCCAGGTAGATCTGTATGTGACTTGAAAAAGCCCACTGTGTGGGCGAAATGTTGTCAATAAAGGATCACATTATACTTCATGTGTGTTTATATTTCCATTGTGTCGGTATTTATATACCATTTGTTTCCACCCCGTAGTGTTCGCTACTTTTACAACCATCTATAAATATGTTAAATAACCATGGTGACATCACACATCTCTGTCTAAGGCCTACTTGAACTGGAAAATAATCCTTCTCTTTCTCTTACATATCCTAAGCTGAGCCTTATTATCTTCATAAAAACTACCTCTGCCATGTTGGTTCCCTACTCACCCTTTCACATGTCTTTTCTAAATCTATAAATAAAACAAATAGCTCCTTACCTTAATCTGAATATTTTCTCCATGGGAAGTGAAACAGAATTTTTCCTCTGTAAGCCATACATATTGTAAAAGGTGACAAAAATGCTGTAACGAGGGGGCTAGTAACCCATTTTCCTGTATAAATTACAGCCTCTTCTCACTTAGCTACGGACAGTACTTGTTTACTGACAACTCGGACTTAAGACGGGCTCTCTGACCAGTGTGCATACCTAAATAATGCATATTAGAGCTGATTTTCTCTCTTCTGTTTATTACAATATACGTACAGTACATTACTGTATTAACATTTAAAAATATACCAGAAATGTTATAAATGGTGCAAAGGTGATTGACACAAACCCACTACCATTATAGTATGCTCCTCACCTAGCGATGAATTTGTCTAATGACATGGTATTAGGAATGAAACTCCACCATTAAGTGGGGTCAGCCTGCTTTGGTGGGATATGGCTGGTTCATTAAAAAAAAAAAAATCATACACAGTTTGATTCCTGCATGTATATTTGCACTGTGCAGAGTTCAAGGGTTAACTTTCAAAAACAAATTATGTTCTTACTGTATTTGTTGACATCAGTGTTCATCAGTTGTTCTTGTTACAGTGACAGCAGAACAATTGTGGAAAGGAGTGACCAGTGTGAGCAACGCTGGCAGGAAGCAAGGCCGTGGCAAGGGCGTTGGCAAAAAGATTGCCAAAGATCTTAATAGAGGACAGATAATTGGTGTAGGTGAGTTGATGAACTTCCATGGGGAAGTGGAGGAGAATCCTTCCTCCGTATGCCATATGTGTTGTAAGAGGTGACTAAAATGGCGGGAGCAAAGGGCTAATAACCCCTTCTCTTATGAATTACTAAATGTAATTAGAAAATCTTTTGTTTCAAAATTTTTGTGTCACCCTGCTTAGGTGGGAGACAACCAGTGTGCTAAAAAAAAAAAAAAAATTGTTGGACATATTGCGTATATTATACACCAAGAAAATTTTGTTGATTTTATAATTGTAATTCAATCAGCAACTACATGTATAGCATATACGTAGTTGCTTCATAATTGCTTTGTATGCATGGCACTCTTATAGTGTGCATCCACTTAATTCTGTGATTCAGGTCAGGAGAACATGGTGTGGCCTGGTCTGAATGCACCTGTTATACGTGGCAGAGAGCTGGTCCAGCAGAAGAAGCTTCCTAAAGATGAGGAGAGGGAAGCCAGGCTCATCAAGATAAGGAACACTATGGGTTCGTTTCGTGCTCTCCGCCTCGATCCTCTTGATAGAGGCTGGTGTGGCAATAAAATGCCAGGCAGGAGTATTGGTCCACCAAATCCCATTGAAGATGGTAAGTTAAACTATTTGTTACACATAAATTTGAAAACTGAGATAATTGTATGTCATCTATCACTGTGGTTGTAAAATTGTAAACAGTGTAGCCAGAGTACAGGCAGTCTCTCAAGATAACTTAACCTTTCACTGTCCAGACCCCCAAAATTAATATTGCTTTTTGTCCACATTTACAAAAAATTTGAAATGGTAGAGAATTTCTTTCTGATGGTAATGACATCAAAAATTTAGCAGACTGTGTGTAGTTCATGCATTAGCAATTTTGCCCACTTTGAGTTCTGTTTTAACCCTATTGCATCGCTCCATTCAACCAAATTCTTAGCTATTTTGCTAGTATGCCTTCCATTCTATCAATTGAGCACAAGAAACTATCCATTCAACTATCAGAACCACCCTATAAAGTGCACAGAATCTGGTAATTTAGTAAATTTTATACAAAATTAAAAAAATAAAAATTAAAAACACTCCAAAATAAACACTATAGGCCTTTTTTTTTTTTTTTTTTTTTTTTTTTCTTTTCTTTCAACAAGTCGGCCGTCTCCCACCAAGGCAGGGTGACCCAAAAAAAAAGAAAGAAAATCCCCAAAAAGAAAATACTTTCATCATCATTCAACACTTTCACCACACTCACACATTATCACTGCTTTTGCAGAGGTGCTCAGAATACAACAGTTTAGAAGCATATACGTATAGAGATACACAACATATCCCTCCAAACTGCCAATATCCCAAACCCCTCCTTTAAAGTGCAGGCATTGTACTTCCCATTTCCAGGACTCAAGTCCGACTATATGAAAATAACCGGTTTCCCTGAATCCCTTCACTAAATATTACCTTGCTCACACTCCAACAGATCGTCAGGTCCCAAGTATCATTTGTCTCCATTCACTCCTATCTAACACGCTCATGCATGCCCGCTGGGAAATCCAAGCCCCTCACCCACAAAACCTCCTTTACCCCCTCTTTCCAACCCTTTCGAGGACGACCCCTACCCCTCTTTCCTTCCCCTATAGATTTATATGCTTTCCATGTCATTCTACTTTGATCCATTCTCTCTAAATGACCAAACCACCTCAACAACCCCTCTTCTGCCCTCTGACTAATGCTTTTATTAACTCCACACCTTCTCCTAATTTCCACACTCCGAATTTTCTGCATAATATTTACAACCACACATTGCCCTTAGACAGGACATCTCCACTGCCTCCAACCGTCTCCTCGCTGCTGCATTTACCACCCAAGCTTCACATCCATATAAGAGTGTTGGTACTACTATACTTTCATACATTCCCTTCTTTGCCTCCATAGATAACGTTTTTTGACTCCACATATACCTCAACGCACCACTCACCTTTTTTCCCTCATCAATTCTATGATTAACCTCATCCTTCATAAATCCATCCGCCGACACGTCAACTCCCAAGTATCTGAAAACATTCACTTCTTCCATACTCCTCCTCCCCAATTTGATATCCAATTTTTCTTTATCTAAATCATTTGATACCCTCATCACCTTACTCTTTTCTATGTTCACTTTCAACTTTCTACCTTTACACACATTCTCAAACTCATCCACTAACTTTTGTAATTTTTCTTTAGAATCTCCCATAAGCACAGTATCATCAGCAAAAAGTAACTGTGTCAATTCCCATTTTGAATTTGATTCCCCATAATTTAATCCCACCCCTCTCCCGAACACCCTAGCATTTACTTCTTTTACAACCCCATCTATAAATATATTAAACAACCATGGTGACATTACACATCCCTGTCTAAGACCTACTTTTACCGGGAAGTATTCTCCCTCTCTTCTATACACCCTAACCTGAGCCTCACTATCCTCATAAAAGCTCTTTACAGCATTTAGTAACTTACCACCTATTCCATATACTTGCAACATCTGCCACATTGATCCTCTATCCACTCTATCATATGCCTTTTCTAAATCCATAAATGCAATAAAAACTTCCCTACCTTTATCTAAATACTGTTCACATATATGCTTCAATGTAAACACTTGATCTACACATCCCCTACCCACTCTGAAGCCTCCTTGCTCGTCCGCAATTCTACATTCTGTCTTACCTCTAATTCTTTCAATTATAACCCTACCGTATACTTTTCCTGGTATACTCAGTAAACTTATTCCTCTGTAATTTTTACAATCTCTTTTGTCCCCTTTCCCTTTATATAAAGGGACTATACATGCTCTCCGCCAATCCCTAGGTACCTTCCCCTCTTTCATTATTTTATTATTATTATTTTTTTATTATCACACCGGCCGATTCCCACCAAGGCAGGGTGGCCCGAAAAAGAAAAACTTTCACCATCATTCACTCCATCACTGTCTTGCCAGAAGGGTGCTTTACACTACAGTTTTTAAACTGCAACATTAACACCCCTCCTTCAGAGTGCAGGCACTGTACTTCCCATCTCCAGGACTCAAGTCCGGCCTGCCGGTTTCCCTGAATCCCTTCATAAATGTTACTTTGCTCACACTCCAACAGCACGTCAAGTATTAAAAACCATTTGTCTCCATTCACTCCTATCAAACACGCTCACGCATGCCTGCTGGAAGTCCAAGCCCCTCGCACACAAAACCTCCTTTACCCCCTCCCTCCAACCCTTCCTAGGCCGACCCCTACCCCGCCTTCCTTCCACTACAGACTGATACACTCTTGAAGTCATTCTGTTTCGCTCCATTCTCTCTACATGTCCGAACCACCTCAACAACCCTTCCTCAGCCCTCTGGACAACAGTTTTGGTAATCCCGCACCTCCTCCTAACTTCCAAACTAACTACGATTCTCTGCATTATATTCACACCACACATTGCCCTCAGACATGACATCTCCACTGCCTCCAGCCTTCTCCTCGCTGCAACATTCATCACCCACGCTTCACACCCATATAAGAGCGTTGGTAAAACTATACTCTCATACATTCCCCTCTTTGCCTCCAAGGACAAAGTTCTTTGTCTCCACAGACTCCTAAGTGCACCACTCACTCTTTTTCCCTCATCAATTCTATGATTCACCTCATCTTTCATAGACCATCCGCTGACACGTCCACTCCCAAATATCTGAATACGTTCACCTCCTCCATACTCTCTCCCTCCAATCTGATATTCAATCTTTCATCACCTAATCTTTTTGTTTATCCTCATAACCTTACTCTTTCCTGTATTCACCTTTAATTTTCTTCTTTTGCACACCCTACCAAATTCATCCACCAATCTCTGCAACTTCTCTTCAGAATCTCCCAAGAGCACAGTGTCATCAGCAAAGAGCAGCTGTGACAACTCCCACTTTGTGTGTGATTCTTTATCTTTTAACTCCACGCCTCTTGCCAAGACCCTCGCATTTACTTCTCTTACAACCCCATCTATAAATATATTAAACAACCACGGTGACATCACACATCCTTGTCTAAGGCCTACTTTTACTGGGAAAAAAATTTCCCTCTTTCCTACATACTCTAACTTGAGCCTCACTATCCTCGTAAAAACTCTTCACTGCTTTCAGTAACCTAACCTCCTACACCATACACTTGCAACATCTGCCACATTGCCCCCCTATCCACCCTGTCATACGCCTTTTCCAAATCCATAAATGCCACAAAGACCTCTTTAGCCTTATCTAAATACTGTTCACTTATATGTTTCACTGTAAACACCTGGTCCACACACCCCCTACCTTTCCTAAAGCCTCCTTGTTCATCTGCTATCCTATTCTCCGTCTTACTCTTAATTCTTTCAATTATAACTCTACCATACACTTTACCAGGTACACTCAACAGACTTATCCCCCTATAATTTTTGCACTCTCTTTTATCCCCTTTGCCTTTATACAAAGGAACTATGCATGCTCTCTGCCAATCCCTAGGTACCTTACCCTCTTCCATACATTTATTAAACAATTGCACCAACCACTCCAAAACTATATCCCCACCTGCTTTTAACATTTCTATCTTTATCCCATCAATCCCGGCTGCCTTACCCCCTTTCATTTTACCTACTGCCTCACGAACTTCCCCCACACTCACAACTGGCTCTTCCTCACTCCTACAAGATGTTATTCCTCCTTGCCCTATACACGAAATCACAGCTTCCCTATCTTCATCAACATTTAACAATTCCTCAAAATATTCCCTCCATCTTCCCAATACCTCTAACTCTCCATTTAATAACCTCTCCTCTCCTATTTTTAACTGACAAATCCATTTGTTCTCTAGGCTTTCTTAACTTGTTAATCTCACTCCAAAACTTTTTCTTATTTTCAACAAAATTTGTTGATAACATCTCACCCACTCTCTCATTTGCTCTCTTTTTACATTGCTTCACCACTCTCTTAACCTCTCTCTTTTTCTCCATATACTCTTCCCTCCTTGCATCACTTCTACTTTGTAAAAACTTCTCATATGCTAACTTTTTCTCCCTTACTACTCTCTTTACATCATCATTCCACCAATCGCTCCTCTTCCCTCCTGCACCCACTTTCCTGTAACCACAAACTTCTGCTGAACACTCTAACACTACATTTTTAAACCTACCCCATACCTCTTCGACCCCATTGCCTATGCTCTCATTAGCCCATCTATCCTCCAATAGCTGTTTATATCTTACCCTAACTGCCTCCTCTTTTAGTTTATAAACCTTCACCTCTCTCTTCCCTGATGCTTCTATTCTCCTTGTATCCCATCTACCTTTTACTCTCAGTGTAGCTACAACTAGAAAGTGATCTGATATATCTGTGGCCCCTCTATAAACATGTACATCCTGAAGTCTACTCAACAGTCTTTTATCTACCAATACATAATCCAACAAACTACTGTCATTTCGCCCTACATCATATCGTGTATACTTATTTATCCTCTTTTTCTTAAAATATGTATTACCTATAACTAAACCCCTTTCTATACAAAGTTCAATCAAAGGGCTCCCTTTCATACATTTATTAAACAAAAGTACCAACCACTCCAACACTATATCCCCCCCTGCTTTTAACATTTCTGTCATGATCCCATCAGTTCCAGCTGCTTTACCCCCTTTCATTCTACGTAATGCCTCACGTACCTCCACCACACTTACATTCTGCTCTTCTTCACTCCTAAAAGATGGTATACCTCCCTGGCCAGTGCATGAAATTACCGCCTCCCTTTCTTCCTTAACATTTAAAAGTTCCTCAAAATATTCTCGCCATCTACCTAATACCTCCATCTCCCCATCTACTAACTCCCCTACTCTGTTTTTAACTGACAAATCCATACTTTCCCTAGGCTTTCTTAACTTGTTTAACTCACTCCAAAATTTTTTCTTATTTTCATTAAAATTTCTTGACAGTGCCTCTCCCACTCTTTCATCTGCTCTCCTTTTGCACTCTCTCACCACTCTCTTCACCTTTCTTTTACTCTCCATATACTCTGCTCTTCTTATAACACTTCTGCCTATAGGCATTAAAAAACATTTTCTCTGTTCATTAATCATGTCCTGAGGCCTCTTCTATATTACATTTGCCTTCCATTTTTAATTAACCACACAAATTGAGGATTTACCTCATTTCTCAGATAATAAAATATAACCTGAATGATTGGTCATAGCGTATGGCATCCTAATAATTGAATTAAGCCTATTAAAAATCCATAACATAGACAAGAGGTGTAGGGAAACCTTACCTATGCTCAGGAGAATTGGCAAAATTTAATTATATCTACTACTTTGAGCCCAATTTTAAGCTGCTACTGGTCCTGCAACCATTCAGAATCATCTATTATTTCAGTAGTATATCTTCCATTTTATCAAATGATACCAAGGAACAACTCATAAAACTATAAAAACCATCCTAGTAAACTGCAGTCACTATATTAAACCAAAGACAAGGTCAAAGTTTTACTTTTCCCATTATGCACTGTGTGGGGCAGGATTTTTTTGTGCTGTGAGCCCTCCCTGCACACACCCATTCTCTTGTATCTAGGCCAAAATTTACTGCTCACAGCTTATCTGAGGGAGCCGTGCTCAAAACATAGATCTATGTGAGGGACCCTGGCATCAGTGACTTTGATCTATGTGACGGCCACTGTAAGGGTTAAATGAGTTAAACATTGGTGGGTGTGGCATGCAAAGATGGCTACTTTGCACTAATAAGTGCAAGGTGAAAACAGGAGATTGGCTGCTAAGACTAGACATGGAATACAACCTGAGAGGTAAAACATGTCAGGTAGTGTGTAAGGACAAATATCTAACAGTAAGCATTGCATCAGAAATACACATCAATTATATAAATTCACTTTACTGTATGTATCTTAACCCCTCAACTGTGGCATACCCAGAAAATATAATTCCTGTGTGCTTGGCAAGATTGAAAAAAAAAAAATGCAGTTTTGAAAAGAAGTTTTTCTGCATCGAATAAGACAAGTGGAATTTGACAAAAACTTATTATTTTATGGAGCGTTGAAGTTGTCCAGAACTGATGCACTGTTGGCAACATGTAGTGCTAAAGCACCAACTAGTTTATTTTATTGCCGATTCATCTAAGCCAAATAAAGTGTAATTTTCATTTCTTTCGCATGCACTGGTTAACACTAAGTACTACATTTTGCGATGAAAATATCCTGATTTCAAGCAAAAATAATAGTGAAGTAGGTCAGGAAGCACACTGCACCATAAGAACACTCTCGGTATTCACTATATATCTGCACATTAATATGGTTTATCTTTTATCTAGTACAGTGGAACCTCGGTTTTCATTTGCCCTGGTTTTCGTTGTACAGATACCATCCGACTTACAACCAAGCTTGATTCTGACCAACAGGTCGTAAGTCAAAATGGACGTAAGTCGAACCTTACTACTGAATATCAACATCGCACTTTTGTAATGATTTTATTTTGTTTTATTTTGGTATTTCATTTTTTCCTTTTTATCCTGTTAGTACTGTATTTTATACCATAAGGTTTAGGATAAATACTGTGTACAACACAAACAGTTATTTCCCAGAAATTTGGCATAAAAAACGTGGTCATAAGTCGAGTGGTCGTCTGTCGAGCAGGTTGTAAGTCGGATGGTAGGTGTATTCAGTTTTTTGATGACTCTTTTTCATCAAAATTTTGTCCCAGTTTTTGTTCATCACCTTGGTTTTCACTTACATCACTTTAATCACTATCCAATTCTAGGGTAGAGTCATTGGCATCTATTTTGTTGTGTGGCAAGCCCAGAGGTGGACTGCACAGCCATATCTTTGTTTGCAGTGGTTCTTCTTTCATTCCTGGTTGTATCACTATTACTGACCTCTTCAAAACTGGACAAGGATCCTCCATTATCACCTTAATGTCAACGGTTTTAGGAATGAACAGCATTTCCCTGATTTCACTGTAAGAAAGGCTGGAATACCAGTCAGCCATTGTGATTTTATGTTTAGTGGGTAGTGCATGGCAAATTTGCGGCCAAAAAAAAATCTGTGTGCACTAGTACACAGGGCATATTGTATTGGTAAGTTGGACACAGTTAAAAGGTCAAACTTGTTTAGATTTCTGAAAGAAGTTTTTAGTTAGCTAAATTTTTTTTTTATTATTATCACACTGGCCGATTCCCACCAAGGCAGGGTGGCCCGAAAAAGAAAAACTTTCACCATCATTCACTCCATCACTGTCTTGCCAGAAGGGTGCTTTACACTACAGTTTTTAAACTGCAACATTAACACCCCTCCTTCAGAGTGCAGGCACTGTACTTCCCATCTCCAGGACTCAAGTCCGGCCTGCCGGTTTCCCATGTTGAGGTTTGTTATACTGAGGTTCGTTATATCAAGGGCTTACTGTAATGACATGATGTGTCATGTTTATCATAGATCTTAGTAACTGTTCACTCTTCAGTGTGAACTTTTCACTAGTTGATATTACTTAAGCCTTTCTTCTTTTATTTAAGTATCAAACTGTACTTTAATAATGCTTCCATTAATGAATAATATATATTTTCCAGATAAATTTGAAGGATTTGATACCAGAGTTCTGGAGTTGAAAATCGTCACCTGCATGACTGCCGTGTTTGGAAGGAAACGACGCTTTAGCATGTTTGTTGTGACTGGTAATGGCAATGGTCTAGGAGGCTTTGCACTAGCTAAGGCAACCACCATATCAGATGTTACCAGGAAAGTGAAGAACCGTGCTGGCCAAAAATTACTCTACATTGAGCGTTACAATGAACACACAGGTGAGGCAAGTTGTACAACAAACATAGGCAAGGCAAATAGTACAATGAACACACAGGTGAGGCAAGTGGTACAATGAACACACGGGTGAAGCAAGTGATACAACGAATACACAAGTTATACAGTAAACACACAGGTGAGTCAGGTGGTACAGTGAACACACAGGTGAGGCAAGTGGTACAACAAACACTTAACACTTTGACTGTCGCAAGCCCCTTTCTGAAACTGTCATTCTATGTCGAAAAATGTTTGGAAAAAAAAATAATTTTCTTATGAAATGATAAAGAATCTTTTCCCGATGGTAATGACACCAAAAGTACAAAATTTGATTGAAAATTTACGGAATTATGCTCCCACGAAGTTACCGATCTCAGCAATATATACGCATTGGCGATTTTGCAGACTTTGCACCCTATTTTCTGCCAATTCCATTGTTCCAGTCGACCAAACTCGTAGCTATTTCTTTAGAACTCCATTTTTCTATCAATTGAGTACAAGAAACTGCCCATTTACTGATTTCAATTACCCAATAAACTGTTAAGAAATTGGCAATTTGGCCAATTTCACACAAATTAAAAGAGATGCCAATTTCAAAATAGGGTCCAGAATAAACAATGCAGACATTCTTGGCACTAAAATAACATATCCTCAGTTCATTAGTCACATCTCTAGGCCCCTCTTATAGTACTCTTGCTTTCTATTTTTATATTTTATTCACACAAAAAAATAGATGTACTGTTATGCAGACTACTGCATTATTGTAAAAATGGTATAAATAATATCAGTAAACTAGTGAAAGACTAATGGACTCCCCAGGTGACGTGTATTGGACGTGTGGTGTGATTTGCTTACTCTTGAACATTGGTAAAAATCGAACATTTCTGCTACTTTGAGCTCAATTTCAAGGTCGTTTGCATCGTGAAACTAATCAAAATCATTTCTATTTCTGTAACATGTTTTCCATTCTATCAAATGAGACCAAAAACACGAGAATACAACCATAAATACTATACGAAAATACACCTCAAAGTCGGCATTTTAATCCAAAAACTCGGTTGGAGTTTTTTTTTTTTCCTCATAATGCACTGCATGCTGCAGGATTTTTTTTTTTTACAGTGCACACTGACCACACAGACCCATTCTCTCACATGTGCGCCTACCAGATTCTCCTGCTTGATTTGAAGCCACTAGAATTATTGAGTATATATACGTCCAAAACACTGGCTTGTAAGACATATATATACGACCAAAACAGTCAAAGGGTTAAGTGTTGGGTAAAAAAGTGATGAGTTATAAATCACTGCTGCAGGGTGACATAACTCGTAAATCACCGCTGCAAGGTGACAACTTGTAAATCTGCTGCAATGTGACACAAGTTGTCGCCTTGCAACAGTGATTTTGGCATTTTGGCTATTAATTAAGGCCAGTTTGAGGGTCAGCAGAAACCAATATATAAAGGGTTGAAATTGATGTTCTTTATATACAGTGTTTTACATCGAGGTTCATTCAGTGGCAGCTCGTAGTGCCATAAATACAAGGAAAACAACATAAAACAGATATTTCCTGTAATATATTTGTCAGATACAAATTATTTCAGCGTAAGGTTGATGAAGTCATACATCTGGCAGGGCTGCAGTTCCTATGGACGAGCCACCACTGAGTTTATTATACACAATGTTTGCATTGAGGTTCATTATGTACATTGAAGTTCATTATATATACAGTGTTCATTTGATAATTCACATTGTAAATATGTTTTGTCATCGTTCCCACTCTGCAGTGTTCTGTCATCATTCCCACTCCGCAGTGTTCTGTCATCGTTCCCACTCCACAGTGTTTTCTCATTCTTCCCACTCCACAGTTCTTCATGACTTCTTCACATACTTTGGACGCACAAAGATATTTGTCAAGAAAATGCCTGAGGGGTATGGCTTGGTGTGCCACCGTGCCATCCGCACCATCTGTCAGACCCTTGGCATCAAGGACATCCATGCCAAGATTGAAGGACCCACAAATGTGCAGAATATCACCAAGGCCTTCTTTCTAGGCCTTATTAGACAGGTAGGCCATTTTGCTGAATTTCTTTTTTCTAGTTTTGATCCACCCAGTTGTTCTAGGTGCACTTCTTGTGTATACAATCATATAGCCTCAAGGAGACCATTACAACACCTCCTTGTGTCCATGAGGCAAATGTGGATGTGCGAGAGGTAGTTGTGGAACTCGTATGCCCACTTATTACTCAGTTTCAGTGTATCATGGAATTACCTTAATCCTTCGAGGGGTCCAGACCCCAATCTGAAACATGTCCACAGAGTCCAAGAAACTAAAAATATTCTTTATTTATTTAACAAGTCGGCCGTCTCCCACCGAGGCAGGGTGACCCAAAAAAGAAAGAAAATCCCCAAAAAGAAAATACTTTCATCATCATTCAACACTTTCACCACACTCGCACATTATCACTGTTTTTTCAGAGGTGCTCAGAATACAACAGTTTAGAAGCACACACATATAAAGATACACAACATATCCCTCCAAACTGCCAATATCCCAAACCCCTCCTTTAAAGTGCAGGCATTGTACTTCCCATTTCCAGGACTCAAGTCCGACTATATGAAAATAACCGGTTTCCCTGAATCCCTTCACTAAATATTACCCTGCTCACACTCCAACAGATCGTCAGGTCCCAAGTACCATTCGTCTCCATTCACTCCTATCTAACACGCTCACGCACGCTTGCTGGAAGTCCAAGCCCCTTGCCCACAAAACCTCCTTTACCCCCTCTCCAACCCTTTCGAGGACGACCCCTACCCCGCCTTCCTTCCCCTATAGATTTATATGCTTTCCATGTCATTCTACTTTGATCCATTCTCTCTAAATGACCAAACCACCTCAACAACCCCTCTTCTGCCCTCTGACTAATACTTTTATTAACTCCACACCTTTTCCTAATTTCCACACTCCAAATTTTCTGCATAATATTTACACCACACATTGGTAGAAAATCTTTTTCTGAAGGTCATAAAACAATAAGTACTAAATTTGATGGAAAATTTATGAAATTTCGCTTTTGCAAATTTTGCTGTGTCAGCGATATTTACGCATCGACAATTTTGCCCACTTTGAGTCCTATTTTAGGTCAATTACATTGTTCCAGTACACCAAATTCTTAGCTATTTTGCTAATCTGTCTTCCATTTTATTGATTGATCACAAGAAATTGCCCAATTAGCTATCTCAAGTACCCAGTAAAGTGATCAGAAATTGGTAACTTGGGCAGTTTCACACAAATTTCAAAATAGGGTCCAGAATAAACAAAGCACACATTCCTGGCACTAAAATAACATTTTTTCTCTTCATTAGTTATGTTTCCAGGTCTCTCTTATATTACACTTGTTTTCTATTTTGAATTTTTATTCACACTAAAATAGGAGATTTACTGTTATGCATTTTGTGATAATTGTATAAATAATGTCAGTGTATTTTTGAGTGCATATTAGATCGACTAGTTGGATGTGTATTAGAGAAGCGACATGATTTGTTTACTCTGGAATATAAAAAATTGAATATTTCTGCTACTTTGAGCTCAGTTTCAAGCTACTTCCAATCCTGAAACCAATCAAAATCTCTGTTTCAGTAATACATCTTCCATTCTGACAAATGATACCAAGAAACCGATAATAAAATAATTAAAACCACCTGAAAATACACTGCAAATTTGCTAATTTAAACAAAAAATCAATTTTTTTTCCCTATCATGCACTGCATGGGGCAGAACTTTTTTTTTATATGGTGTACACTCGCCACATAGACCCATTCTTTCGTATCTAGGCCAAAATTTACCCCTCACAGCTTATCTGAGTGAGCTGAACTTGGGATGTAGTTCTACGGCACTGACGCAGAGTTCAAAACCGTAGAACAATAGCTCTGACCCTCACAGGGTTAATAACTACAACCAAGTCAATGTCCCCAATTTTCGCTTAGCCAGTTTTATGGGGCTGAAGGATTATCTGGGTAGGGTCAGCTGGTGTGATCTGACAAGTCATTATCCTGAGGGTCAGGTAGGTTGTGATGGTTACCAGCATGACATTTCTCAAACCATAGTTCAAACTGCCCAGGCAACTTATATTCCAAATTTGGAAATTAAATCAAACAAAAATGACCCTAAATAGAAAAAATAAATTAAAACACCTTATAGGTCAAAAGGGAGGCATTTGCAGGCAAATAAAAAAAGGGAGAGAGGCATTCAAGAAATCAGTATATTCATTTAAAGAAAGAAATCAAAAGAGAAATAAGAAAAGCCAAAAAGGATTATGAAGTTCAAGTTGCAAGGGAATTAAAGACTGACCCACAAGGTTTCTTTCGGGTATATAGGAGTAAGATTAGAAAGTCAGCTCACTGACATTGACAAGGAACTGTCTATGAGCTTTAACAAGTATTTCCTCTCAGTTTTTACAATGGAAGATATTTGCAAAATTTGAGAAATAAAAAATTATATAGGTCAGGATGAAAATAAATTATGCATGATCAGAATCACTAGTGACATTGTTCTCAGACAGTTAGATAAATTAAAACAAATCACCTGGTCTTGATAAACTGTTCTCAAGGGTTATAAGGAATTTAATTAAGAAGGAACTTAACAAACCATTAGCTAATATTTTCAACATATCACTACAAACTGGCATGGTACTGGATAAGTGGAAAATAGCAAATGTGATACCTATCTACAAAGCAGGAAACAGGGTGTTAACTGCAAATTATAGACCAATTAGCCTAACCTCCATCGTTGGGAAAAATTGATGGAATCGATAATTGCTGAGGCTATTTGAAGCCACCTTAACCCCTAAACGGTTCAAACGTATATATACGTTCTGTCGCGTAGCGCCCCAAACGTATATATACGTTTTCTTTGTCAGTCATTCAACATTGCCACAATAAGCCCGAGTCACCTAGACATGAGAGAATGGATGTGCGCACCCACTGTGCGCCATATTAAAATAATTGGGGACACCTGGGTACCATATGTTCTTTTTTCCTATTAAAAAAAAAAAACGATTTTTTTCTCAAAAAATTTGGGGCGCTACGTGAGTGAACGTATATACGTTTGGACCGTTTAAGGGTTAAAAGACAAATTGATTAATGAATCTCAGCATGGTTTTACATAGACAACAGTGCATTAGTGTTCGCAATAAAGCTAACAGAATCCTTGGCTTCATATCAAGAAGTGTAAATAATAGAAGCCCTCAGGTTGTTCCTCAACTCTATATATATATATCGTTGGTTAGGCCTCATTTAGATTATGCTGCAGAATGGATATAAATGCATTGGAAAACGTACAAAGGAGGATGACAAAGTTGATCTCATGTATCAGAAATCGTCCCTATGAGGATAGACTGAGGGCCCTAAATCTGCACTCTCTAGAAAGGCATAGAATTAGGGAGGATATGATTGAGGTGTATACATGGAAAACAGGAATTAATAAAGGGGATGTAAATAGCATGCTAAAAATATCTAGCATAGACAAGATTTGCAGCAATGGCTTTAAGTTGGAAAAATTCAGATTCAGGAAGGATATAGGAAAGCACTGGTTTGGAAATAGAGTTGTGGATGAGTGAAACAAACTCCCGAGTACCGTCATAGAAGCTAAGACGTTTAGTTTTAAAAATTGGTTAGATAAATACACGAGTGGGTATAGGTGGGTGTGAGTTGAACCTGACCAGCTTGTGCTCCTTCCTTAGTGAATGAGACCTGACCTGACTACCTTAACCCTTTCAGGGTCGAGAGGCCTTCTCCTAAACTCGTTCTCAGGGTGGAAAATTTTTTGGAAAAAAAAAAATAGTTTTTTCTTATGAAATGATAGAGAGTATTTTCCTGATCATAATGACACCAAAAGTATGAAATTTGATGGAAAACTTGCAGACTTATGCTCTCGCGAAGTTAGCGGTCTCGACGATGTTGACGCATCGGCGATTTTGCCCACTTTGAGCCCTGTTTGCGGCCAATTTCCGTGTACTAGTCGACAAAAATCATATCTGTTTTGCTAGAACTCCGTTTTTTCTATCGACTGAGTACAAGAAACCACCCATTTACCAATTTCAAGTATCCAATAAAGTGGCCAGAATATGGCAATTTTGCCAATTTCACACAAATTTCAGAAGATGCCAATTTCCAAATAGGGTCCAGAATAAGCAAGACAAACATTCCTGGCACTAAAGTAACATTTTCTCTGTTCATTAGTCATGTCCCCAGGCCCCCTCTTACATCTCTTTTGCTTTCCACTTTGAATTTTTATTCTCTCAAAAAATAGAAGATTTACTGTTATACAGACTACTGCATTAGTGTAGAAATGGTATAAATAACATCAGTGCATTTGTGAAAGTATATTAGACTCACCAGTTGACATGTATTGGACACTTGGCATGATTTGTTTACTTTTGAAATTTGGTAAAAATCTAACATTTCTGCTACTTTGAGCTCAATTTCAAGGTACTTTTCATTATGAAACCAGTCAAAATCATCTCAATTTCTGTAATATGTCTTCCATTCTATAAAATGAAACCAGGAAAACTAGAATACAACCATAAATACCATACGAAAATACACTGCAAAGTCGCTGTTTTAAACTAAAAACACGGTCGGAGTTTTTTTTTCTCATTATGCACTGTGCTGCAGGATTTTTTTTATACTGTGCACACTGACCACATAGACCCATTCTTTCATATGTAGGCCTACCAGCTTTCTCTCACTTAAGTTTAAAGGCGCTAGAATTTAGGCATTCTAGTACGTTAATAACCCTGGTGCGTAAGCCGTACTAGTACGTCGGAAACCCTGAAAGGGTTAAGGCAATTGATTAAGCCAGTGGGTGAATTGGTCTGCCTTGCATAGGCCAGTAGGCCTGCTGCAGTGTTCCTTATGTTCTTATAGGGGCATTCCTCCCTTATGATATTGTGTAAATGGAGTTCCACACTGGAGGTTGTTGAGGAAAGTAGAGGCACATGAAATAGGAGGCAGAAATTCTTTCCTGACTGGAGGCATGGTTGACAGGCAACAGAGAGCTTGCATAAATTGGAGAGAACTCAGGGTGGAACATGTCACAAGTGGTGTTCCACCGCTTGGGCCTCTTGTTTTCACAATGTATACATAAATGATATAGAAGAGGGAATTAACCCTTTAAGGGTCCAGACCCCTGATCTGAGATTTGTCTACAGGGTCCAAGAATTTAAAAAAAAATATATATTTTTTCTCATGAAATGGTTGAGAATCTTTTCCTTTTCGTACAAAAAAGTATGAAATTTGATGGAATCTGACAAAATGACTATTGCATCAGTGCTATTTACATGTCGGTGATTTTGCACACTTTGAGTGCTATTTTAGGCTAATTACATTGTTCCAGTCAACCAAATAATTGTACATTTTGCTAGCATGTCTTCTATTTTATCGATTGAGCACAAGAAACTGCCTAATCAACTATGTATTTCAACTACCCAAGAGTGATCAATAATTGGTAATATAGTAAATTCCACACAAACTTTAAAATACAGTGGACCCCCGCATAGCGACCTAAATCCGTGCAAGAGGGCTGGTTGTTATGCGAAATGTTCGGTATGCGAATGAATTTTCTCCATAAGAAATAATGGAAATCAAATTAATCCGTGCAAGACACCCAAAAGTGTGAAAAAAAAATTTTTACCACATGAAATATACATTTTCCTACACACAAAGAGAAGGATACATGCACAATAGTAGAGTAGTACATGCACAATATATATTGTGCATGTACTACTCTACTAAATGAAGAATAAATGACACTTACCTTTATTGAAGATGCAGCAATGACTGATGAGACAGTGTGTCCTGGGAGTGCCTTTTCCTCCTGAGTACTGTAGGTCCTGTTTGGCATTTTCTTCCAGAACAGGCCTTATCACACTGTGTATGCCACTACGATTCTTAAATCCTCTCAAACCAACCTTTGCTGGCTTTAAATTCACCAATATGAGCACTAGTTCCAGGCATTTTTCCCTGTTCACCTGGTGTTAGTCGACTGGTGTGGGTTGCATCCTGGGAGACAAGATTAAGGACCCCAATGGAAATACGTTAGACAGTCTTCGATGACACTGACTTTTTTGGGTTATCCTGGGTGGCAAATCCTCTGGGGTTAATTGTTTCTTGGTATTCTCAATAAGCCACACCAACAACGGTGCTACAGCAGCAGCAGCAGCAGCTGACGGTGGTACAGCAGCAACAGACGATGCTACAGCAGCAACAGACGATGCTACAGCAGCAACAGACGATGCTACAGCAGCAGCAGACGATGCTACAGCAGCAACAGACGATGCTACAGCAGCAGCAGACGATGCTACAGCAGCAACAGACAATGCTACAGCAGCAGCAGACGATGCTACAGCAGCAGCAGACGATGCTACAGCAGCAGCAGACGATGCTACAGCAGCAACAGACGATGCTACAGCAGCAGCAGACGATGCTACAGCAGCAGCAGACGATGCTACAGCAGCAGCAGACGATGCTACAGCAGCAGCAGACAATGCTACAGCAGCAGCAGCAGCTGACGGTGGTACAACAGCAGCAGCAGCTGACAGTGCAGCAGCAGCTGATGGTGGTACAGCAGCAGCAGCAGCTGTACCACCAATAGTAGCGATGGTTGATTGGGGTTTATTATACAACCTGGCCAGCTCGGAGACACGCACTCCACTTTCATACTTATCAATGATCTTTTTCTTCATCTCTATAGTAATTCTCACCCTTATTGCTGTAGGGTTGGCACTAGAAGCTTTCTTGGGGCCCATGGTCACTTATTTTCCAGAAAAAAATCACCAAAAACACTGTAATAATACGAAATGTTCCGATTGTATGCTTGGATGTTACCGCGGAGGCTGGCTGGTAAACAATGCCACCGGCGGAACATGTGAGCGTGGCTCAGGCCGCACATTGGACGCGTCTCGGACGAAGGGCGGTGAGCGGGTTTTTGGGCGGTATGCAAGGCAAAATTTTTGCGATCAAAGCGTCCGGTATGCGGATTGTACGGTATGCGATGCGTACGGTATGCGGGGGTCCACTGTATTCCTATTTCAAAATACGGTCCAGAATAAATAATGCAGGCATTCCTGGCTCTAAAATAATATTTCTTCTGTTCATTAGTTACATTCCCACTCTTTACACATGAATTCCATTTTGATTTTTAATTCACACCAAGAATTTTTATTCACACAAAAAAATAGAAGATTTACTCTTATGAAATATTGTAATAATTGTATAAATAATATTAGTGCCATTGTGAATGCATATTAGACCCACCAGTAATGTTATTTGTTTACTCTTGAACATCAGCCAAAATCGAACATTTCCCCTACAATGAGCTCAGTTTCAAGCTATTTTCAGTTCTAAAACCAATCAAAATCATCTCTTTCTTTAATATATCTTCCATTCTATCAAATGAGACCAAGAAACTGTAAAATATGAAAATATGAAATACGAAAATACACCGCAGTCGCCGTTTTAAACCAAAAACACGGTCGCAGTTTTTTCTCATTATGCACTGCGTGCTGCAGGATTTTTTTTATGTGGTGTACACTTACCATATACCCATTCTCTCATATCTAGTCCCAAATTTACCTCACAGCTTGTCTGAGTGAGCTGAGCTCATGCTATAGAACAAGGGCACAGACCCTCAGGTAGTTAACAGTGATATAAGCAAATTTGCCATTGACATGAATTCTGATGAGGACATTAGAGTTCTACAGGAAGATCTGTATAGGTTGATTCAGTGGTCAGAGAAGTAGCAGATGCAGTTTAATATAGACAGATGTAAAGTTCTAAGCCTGGGAAAGAGAACCATGACACTAATAGACTTATATTATTAAGTCTCAATTACTCTGAATGTAAAAAAGATTTAGGAGTTGTTGTTAGCATTAATCTAAAGCCAAGACGACAACATGCAAGCATGTGCAGTAAAGCTAATAAGAGTTCTTGGCTTCACATCAAGAATTATAAATAACAGGAGTCCTCAGGTTATACTTTTGTTATATATATTCTTGGTAAAACCTCATTTAGATTATGCCGTGCAGTTCTGGTCACCATATTACAGATTGGACATAAATGCACTGGAAAACATAAAGAAAAGGATGACAAAGTTAATCCCATGTATCAGAAATCTTTCCAGTGAGGATACACTAAATAGGGCACTGAATGTCCACGCTCTAGAAATGTGTAGAATTAGAGGGGATATGACTGAGGTGTATAAATATAAGACAGTAATAAGTAAAAGGGATATAAATAGTGTAATAAAAATATCTAACCAGGACTCACAGCATTGGGTTCTAGTTGGAAAAATTTAGATTTAGAGAGGATATAGGAAAGCACTGGTTTGGTAATAGAGTTGTGGATGAGTGGAACAAACTCCCAAGTAGTGTCATTGAAGCTAAATCTTGAGTAGCTTTAAAAATAGGTTAAACAAGTACAGGAGTGGAACAGTAGGCCTGCTGCAGTGCTCCTTTTTTATGTTCTTACGAATCCAGTTAGTCCACATACTTGAGGCTGTATTAATGGTCCACATTAATGCAGTGTTGTACTATAGTTACTAGTAATAACTGAAAGTTACAAATCTTCACATATTTGCAGAAAACACACCAGAAGCTGGCAGATGAGAAGCAGCTACACTTGGTGGAGTTCCGTAAAGAGAATTTAAATTTTCCTAAGGTGGTTGCAACACCCCAGTCTGGCAAAGTTCGCACCCAGGAGGAAATACCCAACAATGAAGAACTCGATTTTACTCAGGTCAGTTGGTGTTCTCTGTTTCCAGGTATAGACATTTTTGTATGATATATCTTGTACATACTGCAGTGTAGCTCTTGTGATAAGGCTGTATTTTTTTTTATGATTTGGAGACCCCAAAAAAGTTGTTTGCCATTTTTTGGGGGGTCCAAAAAATGTACCCCTACTTTTCCCATAATTTTTTTTTTATTAACGCACTGGCCGATTCCCACCAAGGCAGGGTGGCCCGAAAAAGAAAAACTTTCACCATCATTCACTCCATCACTGTCTTGCCAGAAGGGTGCTTTACACTCCAGTTTTTAAACTGCAACATTAACACCCCTCCTTCAGAGTGCAGGCACTGTACTTCCCATCTCCAGGACTCAAGTCCAGCCTGCTGGTTTCCCTGAATCCCTTCATAAATGTTACTTTGCTCACACTCCAATAGCACGTCGAGTATTAAAAGCCATTTGTCTCCATTCACTCCTATCAAACACGCTCACGCATGCCTGCTGGAAATCCAAGCCCCTTGCACACAAAACCTCCTTTACCCCCTCCCTCCAACCTTTCCTAGGCCGACCCCTACCCCGCCTTCCTTCCACTACAGACTGATACACTCTTGAAGTCATTCTGTTTCGCTCCATTCTCTCTACATGTCCGAACCACCTCAACAACCCTTCCTCAGCCCTCTGGACAACAGTTTCGGTAATCCCGCACCTCCTCCTAACTTCCAAACTACGAATTCTCTGCATTATACTCACACCACACATTGCCCTCAGACATGACATCTCCACTGCCTCCAGCCTTCTCCTTGCTGCAACATTCATCACCCATGCTTCACACCCATATAAGAGCGTTGGTAAAACTATGCTCTCATGCATTCCCCTCTTTGCCTCCAAGGACAAAGTTCTTTGTCTCCACAGACTCCTAAGTGCACCACTCACCCTTTTTCCCTCATCAATTCTATGATTCACCTCATCTTTCATAGACCCATCCACTGACACGTCCACTCCCAAATATCTGAATACATTCACCTCCTCCATACTCTCTCCCTCCAATCTGATATCCAGTCTTTCATCACCTAATCATTTTGTTATCCTCATAACCTTACTCTTTCCTGTATTCACTTTTAATTTTCTTCTTTTACATACCCTACCAAATTCATCCACCAACCTCTGCAACTTCTCTTCAGAATCTCCCAAGAGCACAGTTTCATCAGCAAAGAGCAGCTGTGACAACTCCCACTTTATGTGCAATTCTTTATCTTTTAACTCCATGCCTCTTGCCAAGACCCCTCGCATTTACTTCTCTTACAACCCCATCTATAAATATATTAAACAACCACGGTGACATCACACATCCTTGTCTAAGGCATACTTTTACTGGGAAATAATCTCCCCATTTCCTATATACTGTAACTTGAGCCTCACTATCCTCGTAAAAAATCTTCACTGCCTTCAGTAACCTACCTCCTACACCATACACCTGCAACATCTGCCACATTGCCCCCCTATCCACCCTGTCATACGCCTTTTCCAAATACTGTTCACTTATATGTTTCAGTAGGTAGTAGGTTGGTAGACAGCAACCATCCAGGGAGGTACTACCGTCCTGCCAAGTGAGTGTAAAACGAAAGCCTGTAATTGTTTTACATGATGGTAGGATTGCTGATGTCTTTTGTCTGTCTCATAAATATGCAAGATTACAGGCATGTCTTGCTACTTCTACTTACACTTAGGTCACACTACACATACATGTACACATTTATTTATACACACTCATCTGAGTTTTCTTTGATTTTATCTTAATAGTTCTTGGTCTTATTACTTTTCCTTTTATATCCATGGGGAAGTGGAATAAGAATCTTTCCTCCGTAAGCCATGCGTGTTGTAAAAGTCAACTAAAATGCCGGGAACAATGGGCTAGTAACCCCTTTTCCTGTAAAGATTACTAAAAAGAATAAGAAGAAAATTGTTTTCTTTCTTTTTTGGGTCACCCTGCCTCGGTGGGAGACGGCCGACTTGTTGAAAAAAAAAAAAAAAAAAAAATTATATGTTTCATTGTAAACACCTGGTCCACACACCCCCTACCTTTCCTAAAGCCTCCTTGTTCATCTGCTATCCTATTCTCCGTCTTACTCTTAATTCTTTCAATAATAAATCTACCATACACTTTACCAGGTATACTCAACAGACTTATCCCCCTATAATTTTTGCACTCTCTTTTGTCCCCTTTGCCTTCATACAAAGGAACTATGCATGCTCTCTGCCAGTCCCTAGGTACCTTACCCTCTTCCATACATTTATTAAATAATTGCACCAACCACTCCAAAACTATATCCCCACCTGCTTTTAACATTTCTATCTTTATCCCATCAATCCCGGCTGCCTTACCCCCTTTCATTTTACCTACTGCCTCACGAACTACCCCCATACTCACAACTGGCTCTTCCTCACTCCTACAAGATGTTATTCCTCCTTGCCCTATACACGAAATCACAGCTTCCCTATCTTCATCAACATTTAACAATTCCTCAAAATATTCCCTCCATCTTCCCAATACCTCTATCTCTCCATTTAATAACTCTCCTCCCCTATTTTTAACTGACAAATCCATTTGTTCTCTAGGCTTCCTTAACTTGTTAATCTCACTCCAAAACTTTTTCTTATTTTCAACAAAATTTGTTGATAACATCTCACCCACTCTCTCATTTGCTCTCTTTTTACATTGCTTCACCACTCTCTTAACCTCTCTTTTTCTCCATATACTCTTCCCTCCTTGCATCACTTCTACTTTGTAAAAACTTCTCATATGCTAACTTTTTCCCTTACTACTCTTTACATCATCATTCCACCAATCGCTCCACTTTCCTGTAACCACAAACTTCTGCTGAACACTCTAACACTACATTTTTAAACCTACCCCATACCTATTCGACCCCATTGCCTATGCTCTCATTAGCCCATCTATCCTCCAATAACTGTTTATATCTTACCCTAACTGCCTCCTCTTTTAGTTTATAAACCTTCACCACTCTCTTCCCTGATGCTTCTATTCTCCTTGTATCCCATCTACCTTTTACTCTCAGTGTAGCTACAACTAAAAAGTGATCTGATATATCTGTGGCCCCTCTATAAACATATACATCCTGAAGTCTACTGAACAGTCTTTTATCTACCAATACATAATCCAACAAACTACATACTGTCATTTTGCCCTACATCATATCTTGTATACTTATTTATCCTCTGTTCCTTAAAATATGTATTACCTATAACTAAACCCCTTTCTATACAAAGTTCAAAGGGCTCCCTTTATCATTTACACCTGGCACCCCAAACTTACCTACCTCACCCTCTCTAAAAGTTTCTCCTACTTTAGCATACAGGTCCCCTACCACAATTACTCTTTCACTTGGTTCAAAGGTTCCTATACATTCACTTAACATCTCCCAAAATCTCTCTCTTTCCTCTACATTCCTCTCTTCTCCAGGTGCATACACGCTTATTATGACCCACTTTTCGCATCCAACCTTTACTTTAATCCACATAATTCTTGAATTTACAAATTCATATTCTCTTTTCTCCTTCCATAACTGATCCTTCAACATTACTGCTACCCCTTCCTTTGCTCTAACTCTCTCAGATACTCCAGATTTAATCCCATTTATTTCCCCCCACCAAAATTCCCCTACCCCCATCAGCTTCGTTTCGCTTAGGGCCAGGACATCCAACTTCTTTTCATTCATAACATCAGCAATCATCTGTTTCTTGTCATCTGCACTACATCCACGCACATGTCAATCATCTCCAGTATTATAAAAGTTTTTCTCTCTTTTTTAGTAAATGTCCTACAGGAGAGGGGTTACTAGCTCATACGACACGCCAAGGCTTTAAGGAAAGATTCATTTCCACTTTCGCCATGGACAATATAAGAACTAAGAAGAACAAAGCATTTAGAAAAAAAGAGAAAAACCTAGAAGTTCATTTTTGTCTTGGTATGCACAGTTTTTCAAGACGTACTACAGTGTTAATCCGACAGTCAATGTATGTCAAATGATTCGTTCAGTTTGTCAAGATAGACTTCTCGTCATCACATGACCTGAATACATACTAAGACAGGAAGAGAGTTCATCTTAAAGTGGTCAACTAAAGCACCCCAAAGCCTGTGGGAAATGAAGCACATAAAGCATTAGATAAAGCAACCTCTGTTGCCTTTACTCCTGACGATGCAACTAATCCCCAAGCACACACCTATGCCCCCAACCACATGACCTTGTAAAGATAATAATATTTTTTTTTAACAAGTCGCCGACTCCCCAACCCCAAGCATGAGGGAGACCCAAAAAGAAAATACTTTCATCATCCATCAACACTTTCGACTTCACTCACACCATAATCACTGTTTTGCAGAGAGGTGCTCAATACAACAGTTTAGAAGTATATACGTAAAAAGATACACAACATATCCCTCCTAATACTGCCAACATCCCAAACCCTCTTTAAGTGGCAGGCATTGTACTTCCCATTTCCAGGACTCAAGTCCCGCTATATAAACTAACCGTTTAATCCCCTGAATCCCTTCACTAAATATACCCCTGCTCACACTTCCCAACTGCTAACACGCACATGCACGCTAAAACCCGACAAGTTCATGCAGCATATAAGAATGTATGCATTTATGGATTTGGAAAAAGGCGTTATGACAGGGTGGATAGGGGGAGCAATGTTGGCCGATTTGCAAGTGTAATGTGTAGGAGGTAGGTTACTGAAAGCATTGAAGAGTTTTTACGATGAAAGTGAGGCTCAAGTTTAGAGTAAGTAGGAAAGAGGGAATATTTTTCAGCGCAGTAAAAGTAGGCCAAAGACAAAGGGTGGGATGTGGTGATGTCACCGTGGTTGTTTAATATATTATTATACTGGGGATGCAGAGAAGTAAATCGATGGTCTTGCAAGAGGCTGGAGTTAAAAGATAAAGAATCACACACAAATGGGGAGTTGTCACAGCTGCTCTTTGCTGATGACACTGGCTCTTGGAGGAGATTCTGAGAGAAGGTTTGCAGAGATTGTGGGATAATTGTGTAGGGTGTGCAAATGAAGAAAATTAAAGGTGAATACAGGAAAGAGTAGGTTATGAGGATAACAAAATAGGATTAGTGAAGAAATGATTGAATATCAGATTGTGAGGGAGAGAGTATGGAGGTGGTGAACCGACTTCAGAGATTTGGGAGTGGACGTGTCAGCAGATGGTCAATGAAAAGATTAGTGAATCATAGAATTGATGAGGGAAAAGAGTGAATGGTGCACTTAGGAGTCTGTGGCGACAAAGAACTTTGTCCTTGGAGGGCCCCAAAGAGGGGAATGTAGCTGATAGTATAGTTTTACACGCTCTTATATTGGGTGAGAAGCTTGGGTGATGAAATGTTGCAGGCTAGAGAAGTCTGTAGCAGTGGAGATGTCATTTCTTTAGGGCAATGTGTGGTGTGAATATAATGCAGAGAATTCGTAGTTTGGAAGTTAGGAGAGGTCGGGATTACCAAAACAGTTGTTCCAGAGTGCTGAGGAAGGGTTGTATGAGGTGTTCGGACTGTAAGAGAATTGAGCGAAACAGAATGACATCAAGAGTTTTATCATTCTGTAGTGGAAGGAAGGCGGGGTAGGGGTCGGCTAGGAATGGTTGGGAGGAGGGGGTAAAGTGAGGTATTTGGTGTGGCGAGGGCTTGGGACTTCCAGCAAGGCATGCGTGAGCGTGTTTGATAGGAGTGAAAGGAGACAAATGGATTTTAATACTTGACGGGCTGTTGGAGTTTAGCAAAGTAACATTTATGAGGGATTCAGTGGAAACCGCAGGCAGGCCACATAGTCACTGGAGATGGGAGTACAGTGGCCTGCACACTGAAGAGGGGTGTTAATGTTGCAGTTTAAAAACTGTAGTGTAAAGCACGCCTTCTGGCAATAACAGTGATGGAGTGAATGATGGTGAAAGATATTTCTTTTCGGCCCCAGTGCCACCCTGCCTAGGTGGGAATCCGCCGGTGTGATAATAATAAAATAATAAATTAATAAGTATAAGTACATGGTATCCAGGCACTAGCAGCATCGAGCATACTACTAAAATAGAAAGCCCTTGTATGCGAGCATTTGAAGCAAATTAGGTTAGTTTTTTGTCCCGGGATGCGACCCACACCAGTCGACTAACACCCAGGTACCCATTTTAAAGTGATGGGTGAACAGGAACAGGGACAGCAGGTATCTTATGGAAACACGTCCCTAATGTTTTCCAGCCATATCGGAGGAGATTCAAACTCTGGACCACAGTGTGTGAGCCGAGTGCTCTAGCGATCGAGCTATGGGATACCAGTATTACAAGATATCACACTCATATTGCATACTGCAGTTCATTCCTTCACTAATGAATTAACAGTCATGTAACAGACAAATCAGAATTTGCCTGTGCATGGGAAATCTTAGCCCTAATATTTGATGATATTCGTAAAAATAAAAGCCAACAATTATAACCAACTGATAAATTTAATAATATAGTAAATAGTTATAACAGTGATAATAACTGAGCCTGGGGTTTGACAACAGACTGTTCGGTGATTTTTTACATACTTTATATTTTTGTGTCCACCTGACACTACCATAACTACTCTAGAAGATGTGGCATAAAGTTACTCTCCACTCCCTTCAAGCAAAATATTCGCATATTTCAAACCAGCTTTTGAGTAAAAAAGTTTCTACATTCATTATGGTTGAGCTGGGTCTTCAGCTTCCATCAGTGTCACCTTAATCCATCTTAGTTCATGGACCCATTCTACTTTCTTAGTTGTGGGGGGATATAGTTGTATTGAAAGCTTTTTATTACTTTGTGCGTTTGTGAGAGAATGAAATTTTTTGTTAGATTACAGTATGTAATGTTTTTGATGCAGCACATAATGGATGGAAAGGTGCAATTGGTGAAAAAGAAGTACCCTGCACCATATGAAAAGTTGCCAAGCTATGAAATATACCTGAAGAAGTATGCCAGACGTCGCAACCACCAGAAGGTGAGGCAGACAATTGTTAGTCAACCACCAGACAGTGAGGCATTTTGATCATGCAACTTTAGGTTGACTGATCAGTGTGCTTTAGGTTCTTCAATATTGCCACATTCTTCAGTTAATATTCTGCCTGGCCCAAGGCCAGGTATATTAAAGGTATTAAAATAATCTACATTACTATTTATTGTGCAGCTGTATTATCTACACCTGTATTTTCTCCCATGGCAGACTGGTCTGAAACACTCCCTACGAGGGAAGCCAAGGCCTGGCCACCTCTTAGAAAAGGCCTGGCCCGTTGATTGTACCAGTGAATCTTACAACCTACCTCCGCTTATATTTATTTTTATTTTTTTTTCCACACTGAGGCAAGGTGACCCAAAAAAAAACAAAAAGAAAGAAAAAAACTTTCATCATCATTCAACACTTTCACCATCACCATACATAATCACTGTCTTTGCAGAGGCGCTCAGATACGACAGTTTAGACGTCCCTCCAAACTACCAATATCCTAAACACTAATTATGTTGTGCTATATTTATTTTTCTATCCTTTTTTAATAAGCAGATCACTGCATGATCCTGTTTGTCAATGCATGGGGAAAGATTATTACAGTGTGTGGCATAATTTTCTAGTACAATTAAGTATTGAAGAGTTGGCAGTTTGTTGTGTATCTTTATACATATATGTTTCTAAACTGTTGTATCCTGAGCACCTCTGCAAAAACAGTGATTATGTGTGAGTGAGGTGAAAATGTTGAATGATGATGAAAGTATTTTCTTTTTGGGATTTCTTTCTTTTTGTAGTCAACCCTGCCTACGAGGGGAGACTGCCGACTTGTTGAAGGGATAAAAAAAAAAAAAAAAGTTATCACATATATGATTTATGTAGTTTTCTCTGTTAACTAATTATGATTTATTAATGAATGTTATGTAGATTTTAGCTCTGTCTCTTCTGATTAGAAATAAGTCACATTCTTCAGTTTTTACACAACTTAAAATCAAGGCAAAGCTTCCATTGAGGAGAACACATCAGCACTAAAAGTTTCAAGCTAAGTAGAAGAGGCATTTGCTAGTTATTGCACAGAATCCAACAGTATGTTCACCAACACAGTTTAAAACCAAGAAATTTTTCATCCATTTTGTGAGATGACTCAGTCATTAAAGATTGATGCTGTTCACAGTTGTATTTTAATCAGTGGTAAGTCCTAAACCAGTAGGGGTAATACAGTGCCTGTGGAATGAGCTGTATTCATATTCAGTTCAAATAAGGGCAGGATAATTCTAGTTCCTTGGATCAAGAGCTTTCACCAGAATCAAGGCAAAAATAATTTAGTAATGTACTTGGATTCTACCTAGATGATATACCAAGGGTCAACACTCACGTGGCTTCAGTTCATGGCCAGGCATCCTGGTGGATCAGGGTCAGATCAGCCAGGCTGTTACTGCTGGCTTTGTGCAATCCAGTGTATGAACCACAGCCTGACATTTATTGTGTTTTCTGTATACTCATAGCTCCCATGCTTTTCATTGGGGGTATGATGTACCATCTGCCCAGTTGTTTGTTTTTGTAAGGAGGGATTTGGGACTAACCCCTCTAGTATTTGCTAGGTGCAAATTATGATGTATCTTTCTTGCCTGTGTTGCAAGGAGTACAGGTCAAGGGACTTCATACATTCCCAAAAATGAAGGTGCTTGACTGAACCTATATGTGCAGTGTATATTCTCCAGATCTTCAACTTTGCCTGCCTTAAAAGGGGCTGTTAGTATACAGCAGTACTCCAGCCTAGAGAGAACAAGTGGCTTAAAGATCATTGGCTTAGCATCCCTTTTTTTGAAGGGCCTTGTCATTCATCCTATCATTTTTCTCTGCAGTTGTGATAATGAAAGGTGAGATCCTCATACATTAAATCCACTTTCCTTTTTTAAAAGTTACCCCCTTCATTTTGTTTTTTTTTTGTCTTTATTGTGTGGTTAGAATTTGCTTTAATTCTTCCTTCTGACAGGTGTACCCCAGTTTCCGTGGCAATACCGGTATTTTGACCACTTTTGGCGAAATTCCGCCCTGGATTCGTATATGGTCTCAAGAAAACGATCGTACAGACTGTTCAACCTGGGCTCACTCATACGTTCGTGACTCACTCTGGGGCACATATATTGTCTTATTTTACATTAATATAGACATTTTCATTATCCATCTATGATATTTTCTTCAAAATTAGTGTAGAAACACGTTACATAGCATATATACATGCAATTTTTACATGATATTGTAATGGGGGTCAGTGAGGGTAAACATTATATTTTCTCTGGGACCAGCTTCAGAAAAAATGTGTATGAATCTGCATTAGCCAAGTAAATGCCCTTAATGGTACATAAGGCTTTTGTTTACAATTCTCGGCATGAATTATTCATTACTTCTCCCTTTGTTTATGATGGCATCTAGAGGTAGTTGTTAGAAACGATTAAACTCGATGAATATAGTATGTCGATGATAATAATGTGGCTGTAGGCCGCAGTGTATGTAGCTATATGCCTGGGATGTAGTCCCTCTGGGACTACAAATAAATACTACTCGCCAACAAGAGTCTTCAATGAAGGTATGTTCATTTATCATTAAAATTGGTCATTTATATTTATTTCTCATTGTTTTTTGTATGCAAAACTATAGTTATTCTGTATAAAATGTAATTTTTGGGTATCTGAAAGAGGTTAATTACATTTACAATATTTCTTATGGGAAATATTACTTCGGTTTTAGGTCAATTTGATTTCGGGCCAACACTTCTGGAATGGATTAGTTACGAAAACCGGGGTCTACTGTTTTTATTTCCTCAAGTTTTCCATAATAGAGTAACTGAAAATTGTTCACATTGAGCATCATGTTTTCTGTGGCTCATTGTAAGACTTCTTATATCTTTGCTGGAGATTTACAGTGTCAACAATGGATGGCACTATCAAGCAGATTCAGGTTATCAGCAAACGGTTACATACATGAATATATCAGATATTAAGAATGGAAAAGCATGTTGATGAGGCTTTTTCACAGTGGCAGCCTTGAACTTAACTCTGTCTACCAATTACACTTTGCATTTTGAATGGTTAAGGAATCAAATTATATCATCTGCCCAATTTTCCAATTTTTCCTTTGTGTGCTAACTACACCATGGTATTGCTTGTTGAAGGGTTGTGTACTTCCTGTGTAAACTACACTGCCATTTTTTGATTTGTCCTCCAGTGCATCCAAGACCACATTGCAGTGGAGTCCAGTAGATAGGGGCCATAGAGACGAGGAGGCAACCTCCTCTAAACCCATGCTGCTGTGGGTTGTGCAGCTGTTGAGTATCAAGTAATTGGCAATCTTGCTTCTTAGAACCCTTTCAAAGATTTTTATAATTTAAGATGTTAGTGCTGTCAGTATATAATTCTTTGCTATTGCTTTCCTGCCAACTTTATGGAGTGGGGTTACATCCACTGTCTTCAGCAACTATGCGATAACCCCCCATGTATAGGCTCCCTCTCTGTAGAATACTTAAGATACATGATAGGGTTTTTTTTTTTTTGGAGTAAAATGTACCATCTTGAGATTAAAAGTGGCAAAATGGTATCTACATGCTCCATTAACAATACACAAATGTTGAAATTTTGGAATCTATAAATGGAGGTTTTCTCCAATTATTTTTTTTATTAGCACACTGGCCGATTCCCACCAAGGCAGGGTGGCCCAAAAAAGAAAAACTTTCAACCATCATTCACATCCATTACAGTCTGCCAAGAGGGTGCTTTACACTACAGTTTTTAAACTGCAACATTAACACCCCTCCTTCAGAGTGCAGGCACTGTACTTCCCATCTCCAGGACTCAAGTCCGGCCTGCCGGTTTCCCTGAACCCCTTCATAAATGTAACATTGGCTCACAACATCCAACAGCATCTCAAGTATTAAAAACCAATTTTCCTCCCCATTCAAATTCCTATCAAACACGCTCACAGCATGCCCGCTGGAATTCGAAGCCCCTCGCACACAAAACCACCTTTACCTCCTCCCTGCCAACCTTTCCTATGCCAACCCCTACCCCCGCCTTCCTTCCACTACAGACTGATACACTCCTGAAGTCAATTTCTGTTTTTCGCTCCCATTCTCTCTAATGTCCGAACCACATCACAACCCCTTCTCAGCCCTCTGTACAACAGTATTTGGCAATCCCTCACCCACCTCCAAAACTTCCAAACTACGAATTCTCTGCATTATATTCACACCACACATTTCCCTCTAGACATGACATCTCCACTGCCACCAGCCTTCTCCTTGCAGCAACATTCAACACCCATGCTTCACACCCCATAAAAGAGCATTGGTAAAACTATATCTCATACATTCCCCTTCTGTTGCCTACCAGGACAAAGTTCTTGTCTCCACAGACTCCTAAGTGCACTGCTCACCCTTTTCGCCCTCATCATTTCTATGATTCTCCTCGATCTTTCAAAGACCCATCTGCTGACACACCACTTCCCGAATATCTGAATACATTCACCTCTCCCTCCTCCCTCCAGATTCGATATCCAATCTTTCATCTTTTGTTATCCTCAAAACCTTACTCTTTCCTGTATTCAATTTAAATTTCTTCTTTTACATACCCTACCAAATTCATCCACCAACCTCTCAACTTCCCTTCAGAAACTCCAAGATCACAGTGTCATCAGCAAAGAGCAACTGACAACTCCCACTTTATTGTGATTCTTTATCTTTTAACTCCATGCCTCTTGCCAAGACCCTCACTTTTTACTTCTCTTAACAACCCCATCTATAAATATATTAAACAAATCCCATGGTGACAATCACACATCCATGTCTAAGCCTACTTTTACTGGGAAATATAACCCCTGCTATCCTACATACACAAACTTGATTCCTCACTATCCCTCGTAAAACACATCACTGGCTTTCAAAACCTACCTCCCATACCATACAAACTCTGCAATATCTGCCACATTGTCCCCCTATCCACCTGTCAAATGCCTTTTCGCCCATCCATAAATGCCGCAAAAACCTCTATAGGCCTTTATCTAATATACTGTTCTCTATAAGTTTCACTGTAAACACCTGGTCCACACACCCCCCTAGACTTTTCCCTAAAGCCTCCTTGTTCATTCTGCTATCTCTATTCTCCGTCTTACTCATAATACTTTTCAATAATAACTCTACCAAACCACATTACCAGGTATACTCAACAGACTTATCCCCCTATAATTTTTGGCACTCTCTGTGTCCCCCTGCCTAAATACAAAGGAACTATGCATGCACTCTGCCAG